GAAACTGTAATTATTTCCCTTATTTGTTAATGTACGAATATACAAAGGTCAGTAGCTAAATTTCTTTAGCTCTATTAATAAAATTAATCATTCCAGGAAGTAAATTATGGAAATTACATTTATTTGAGGGAGATACGTGATGAAATAACATTATCGTTTGCAAATGCTTTTAGCTTTACTTCTTTTGGAAGTTTGAGGAGCAATTTAATTGCAAAAGCATATAGTCAAATGCCAAACGAAAATGGGATATAATTCCAGTAATTTTAAGCTCCAAACCAAATACTTCCTACTTAGAAAAATTTAGAGCTCTAACCAAAGAATATGATATTTAGACAAATTCCATCAGCAGGACTGAAATTCTAGTTATTGATTGAAATTGTGAGTATAAAATTTTAACTAACATGCTGGACTCTTCGCGACCGACTTTTAACTTAAGTAATACAAACACACAACAAAAATTCCCAAGTCTGAAGCCCGAAAAGGAAAAGCTCTTTCCCATTGTGGCGATTGGAAGTTCCGAAATTCATTGTCTTCCAACAAACCAATAAAATGTTTATACAATGCTCAAAAACTTTCCTCAAACAGTTAGACCACAGGGCATGAAACGTTTCGAAAAAACAATTTAACGAATTCATTTTAAATGCATGAAAGCAATTTAAATTTTACACTCTCGTCGCATTTTCTTTCTCCAAGGTAGAAACGTTAATTATTCAGAGTCCACGTAAGATTTTGTATAATTAATCATAATGCAGGATATCCAATATTAGTCAGCACGCACGGAAGGTTCTGAGTTACTCATTGTTGTCCAAATCGTTTCGCGTATTGCGATGCGTCAGTCAACTAACAAACGTAGTTTTTCTCCACTGTATTGCTCTTATCATCTGTAAGTGACACGAAAATTAATTTTTAATTGAAGCGTGGCGACAGATTGTAAATTATGGTACGAAGATTGACACAGGCTAAAATTTTAATGGTAATTTAAATGTTGCATTGACACGTGACTGACATCAATCGTGTGGATTTTGGACAAAATAAACTAATTATAATGGTATAGAATGCCGGCACATAAAACAGATATTCGCAGTTGAAACAAATAAGAGCAAGCAAGAATAATTCTGCATCTACCAATAATAAAAAATTTACAGCAGTGATTAAAACTATGGCGATGTAGCAAATGGACAAGCTTTACCATAAACGTTGGTTGTGACACTATACAAGATTTATTGACAGGTTGCAGCTCATAGCGCTCAGCCTCCCGACCGCAAAATATTGTCACAATATGCTACATTGTGCCCTCGTGAAAGTTGAAAATATTTCAAGTGCGAATACGTGACAATTGAAATGCTGAATATGTAAGGAATTTGCACGAATATAATCGCTGATAAACTTTATTTGAGAAACCACAAGATAAATCTTCGAAGGTTTTCGAAGGTAAGAGAATAAGAAGAGAAGAAGCAGTGGAGCAACTGCAACCAGAGAAAAAAACAGTCTGATTAACTGACAAACGTAGTACAAATATGCTTTTTATGATCAGATTCTGTATTCCAATTTGTCGGCACATAATTCGACAGTGAAATGAATTCCCAGCATTAACCTTGCGACACTAAATACGGCAGCAGCAAACAGACGAGGCGTTCCGTACGACAAAGTTCCCGCAGAATGGGTGACGTGTGATGAGCGTCGTTATACTGTAACGTAATAAAGATGTCTTGAATTACAGTAAAATACAAAGGGCTTTTAATTGAGCAATATGATGTCACGTTTAGTTAAGTGCGATCAATTATTGATTCACCAACCTTCTAAATTATTGCCGATGGTTCCAGTTAGAAGTGGCATAGATGCCATTCAGAGGTTTGATTTAGGTAAAATGTGCAAAGGTTAGTTATAGGTTGGCCAAACTGAGCTAATTTAGTAAATAAGTTAATTAGTAATAAGGTTAAGGTATTAGGCCGGCAATAAGGCCGCCAAAGTAATTAATGCGTCATAGATGACTTCGCATTGTAGGGTCCAACCAAAGAAGTGAATTTGCATGCATTAACAGGACTAGGGGCCCATTTCATGCATTAAATAAAGTATATATATATAGGGAGAAAATGCACATATTATGCTGTACATTATTCATTAATCTAGAATGCAACATTCGTCACCTCCTTCCAAGCTCCTATCTGTCAATTCCTTATGCTAGACGTAAATAACTATTCAAACTTAATCTTCATGGTCTTCCTTAAATTAAAACGGAACAGAATTTCTTATAAATATTTATTATTAATTAGACCACTGAGGTTTCTGAGCCATTCATCATGATTCTGAATATTTAGCATTATTCAGGGTCCAGGGAGAGTTCTGAGTAATTCTCATAATGCTTAATATTCTATATTATTTAGGCCAAGGAAGAATTTCGTGTTATTTATCATAATGCTGAAGATTCAATATTAGTCATAACCCCGCTATTATGCCGATTTCTACCTCACGCAAGGGATGGCGATAATCACGTGAAGTTTTTCTATCTTGAAGTGCAAAAAATCTAGAAAGCCAGTTCATCAACTTTCCATATAAATCGTTATTTAGATAATTGTTAGTTAGTTAATTATTATTCAGGAGGCCAATTAAGTCATTTTATAATCAAGATTCAAGTTATTTTATAAAATGGAAATAGCCCATATTCATTCTTGTATGTCAGGCTAAAGATCAACCGGCCGGTGATGAATTATCAATTCAGTTAATTAAATAGTTTATTTATTAATTTTATTAGTGACTGCACCGTTAGTAGAGAATAAATAATAATCTGGTTCAGAAAATGCACATGGCAATCGATACATTGCATGTCAGAGTGTGAACAAAATATTCATTTTTAGTGAAACATCATATATAATTTAGTACGCTACATGAGTTACAGCTTCCCACAACTTCGAACTTCATTAGTATATTTTTTTGTACTTGATTAGTAAAATTTCCATTTGGAAGTTGACTACAAAACCGGCTAAGAGGCTGCCACCACTACACCGAAAAATGGAATGGCAAGCGCATTATTAAATGCGATCAATTTAATAACGTAATAGAATTCTGGTGTCCACAAATTTATAACTGAGAAAGTATAAATACAAACCGCTATAAGCACAGCCATCTCTACAATAATGTAATTGAAATTCGAAAAAATTCCCTCGCGGTAAAGTTTAAACTCGGGCAGCAGTCGGAGGGAAACTTCCGCAAGAGCTGACCCAGGTCGTCAAACACATTTCAGGCTGCGCTATTATTAATAAAGTGATGTTCAGTAACTTTTTTCCCTATGTATGTTTCGACATTCAACTGTTAGTGCTGTCTCAGTCGTTTTGCATTAATTTCTGGCTTTCTTTCAATATTATGATGCCTCAATCTACCCACGTTGTAAGGGGACGTATGTTATTGTAAATATTAGATTACGTATGTTATTGTAAATATTAGATTATGGATGTTATTGTAGATATTAGATTAGTAATTTCTCTTTTAGGTTTTTAGTCACCACTGACGTGACCTCGCGTAGGAATCCACTATATCTTGTCATTCGTTTGTGCGATTCCACCACAGAGGTACGTGGTTCTTTTAGTCGTGTTTGTTTTCAATGTTGACAGTGCCCTGGTGTTTAAGTGAAGTTTTTATTGATCTTTTAGTGCATATTTGTAGTTATAGTTGTTTATGTATCATATGTCATCCGTGCTGTATTTCTGCGTTTATTAGTTTATTTATTTCATTAGTTCTAATTTTTGTGTTTTCGTTTTGAATGTGCAGAAAGGCTCCGATATTAGAACTGGCTCCGTTCATTAGAGAAAATAGTTAGTCGGCCAAATGAAAGCGCACGGTTTGTTTTGTTTATTCATTTTTTTGGTAATCACTGATAAGTGGTTTGAATTATTATTGTGTGTTCATTTATTCAGTTTTATTCATCCTTCTTAATGGCAATAATTATCAAGACACGATCATAAGTAAATGTCTGGTGGCCACTGACGGCTTTATTTATATATTATTTATTTATCGAATGGGCCCCGACAACGTTTTGACTATTATATATGATTAAAAATTTTCATATCATTCTATATGGTAATTATGAATATTTTGTCTCACCCTAAAAACAGTTCATTTGATGTTGGGCGAAGCGACCTGCCAAATGACAATTTTTGTTACTTTAGTGAAAGGGATTTAATAATTGCTTGTTTACTAACTATTAAATTAGTATCTTTATAATTAACTAATCTTTATCGTCCTCATATAAATTGTTCTCGAGAATAGGTAGAAATTTTGGAAAGGTTGCAAGATAAAATTTTGTTAGGATCAATATTTCTATTACTGTGGTTTAAAAAAACTATTTATTCCTACTGTGGTTCAGAAGAACTATTTATCCCGCTATTGTAGATGCGAAATTCTATCGTATTTACGTGAAGTTATACGACATGGTTCCGGGAATGGCAAGCACCTGGAACAATGGACGGCCAGGAGTGAAATTCGATTCAACCAGGCATAAGCTCAGTCCTTGCGTCACTGCGGGTGCCGCTGTTTCCTGGCGCGACGCGCGAGGTATAAAAGAGACGCCGCAGCGACCAGGCGGACAGTCGAGCTCGTGCCTGGAACGTGTTATCTTGCCGCTCCTCATCGCATAGCGCGGCCTCGCCCTGTTGCGAATCTTTCTTATTCAAGCACCTGGTACTAATACCAATAGTAGTGACCCAGCGGCTTTTCTCTGGGGTTTTTGGTTCATCCGCTGGAACAAAAACGGTTTAGTACTTAAATATTTTGACAATATTTAGTGAATTGCAAACATCAGATGAAAAGGAAAATGGAATCGGACTGACACTCATCAACTTCTTTAACAATTTTTTCCTGAATTCCACGCTGTGAATCTCGTTCTGGAAACCCACATTTTTCTGCTGTCAGTTTATATATCCACCATGAAGAGCTACGATCTCAACGTAAGTATCAGACATAGTATGGATATGAGTCAAAATTGTTAATTTTTCATTTTCTCGTGTACGCTAAATTTTCACACAATTACAATCATAATTTTAAATTCTATAAATTTAATAAGGTTGCTGGTGACTGTTGAACCTTCTCTCTGTATTTTTTATCTGTTTTCATTAGGAGAAAACAACACAGTTACTCGTGTGTTTCATGGCACAACAGTTTTGTGAAATATGTCTTTTGTTGGACTATTTACGCGTGATTTGGTTGCAACACTTACGCTATGCGCTGCGGTCAACGTACCGTCGACGCAAGCGTCGGTAATCACCGGCCAGTTGCGCCAGATTCAGACATCGCCGCTTGCATTCGATCGCAGCGACATAACCTGGATCGCAGCTGGCTTTATTTTATATTTTTTGTTTTTTTTGCATTTAATTTTAAAAACTTCGGGAAAATGTACAGTATTTTGTTTAATTTCTTTTGTATATCTCCAATTAAATTCCTTATATAGTTGTTTGGAATCGTACAAACGTTTACGAAGCGTCAAAATTGCCTTCCGAATTGCTCTGGTTATTATGATTCACCTCCAGCCATGGGTGATATTAGAATCAGACTTTAAAATTATTTTTAGCTTCGTTGATATAATGAAGAAAAAATTATTTTTAAATGTGTATGTGCGTCCCACGACTGCGCGTGGGACGCACACACAGGATAACGACCATAGAAACTAAGAGCGAAAAAAATAGCGAAAAAATACCAAGCAAGTTAATTAGGTTTTAATGTTTAATTTAATTTTAATAATAATCGTTTTATTCAAATGAATTCCCGAATTTTAGCATACATATGAGAAATTAACGAAATGACGAGTGTATTCAAAACGATCAACACTATGTTCATGGATCGTATAAAAGATATAATTGATTTTTTCGCTTGAGCTCAAGACTTTTTATGAATTCAAGGTTGAACCGCGACATAACTTTGACATAATTTGGTCGTTGGTAGCTCGACCGCAGTTCTTTCATGGCAAGGTGATCATGCGACTCTGTTTTCTTGATGCCAATTTTGCTAAAATCAGTTTCTGTTACGATTTTTTAATTCTTGCTAGTTACAATATTATTTATATATACTGTGTCAGAGATTGAATCAAAGTTTAATTTAATGCAAACGCTTTAATCATGCCTTTTCCTCGGCATGAATGTTCAACTTTGAGTTGGCTTCGCATTGCTGTCATCTTATTATCTGTGGGATTGTACCAAATGCTACGTATTTTTTTCGAAGAATTTCTTGCTTTTATTATATTACGTTATTTTTCGTTAGTAATGCTGAACCCTCAGTTGTCTTTATTGTCCTTTTACCTATCTTATTATCTGCGACATTGAACCCGATGTTTTCTATTTCATTTTCAACAATTTCTTTGTGGTAGTACGTGCATTTTACCTTATTTCTCGTTAATAATTTTTAACCATCAGTCTGCTTGCCAAAGCTTTTAGCAAATTATCAACATCAACGCCCACAGCTGAAGCAACACAAGATTTCCAAGCCCAATAAGTGGAGCTCTCCTTCCTTCAATACCGGCTTGCACCGTTCGGCTGCTGCTTTATTTTTACGTTGCTATTTTTTGTTGGTCTGGAAGTCCAGCTTCTTCACGTGCCTGCCACGATCCTGTCGGCTTACCAGCACACCGATTTTTTGTGCGTTAATAGCCGGACGACCGAAAATTTTTGCATCGAGTTTGCACCAGTTTTAGCTTGTTTCAGTCTGAATTATTTGTGTGAAACAATCATTTTGAAATTTAAAATATGTGAATGATTGCGAGTTCTCATAAATGATACATGTTGTTTATTTTTTCGTAGTTGCAAATAAAGAAAAACTACTTACTAATCTGCACCACTCTTGCCGCTGTAACCGAAACATCTCCCTAAATTTGATTTGAATTATTACTTTATTTTTAATATTACTGTTTCAATTAATCACCAAACTCATGAGTGATTATCTAAGCGTGTCCTATAAACGGAAAATCCCGTTTCCAGGTTTCAGTTTCTATGAGCATTATTGCAGAATCCATCGTTCATTAAATACTTGGATTTGGGACCATTTGACGCCGGTCTTTAATAGTCTATCATGAAGTTATATTTAATAAATATTTGTGCATACAAGTAAATGCGAACTGGATACGTATAACTTAAACCTCATATCGTGTGAATTTATTGACGTACACTTATTTCGTTAATTTGGTAATAATTTGGGAATGAGACTAAATAATTTATCTCTTAATAACTAGTTCTTGCTATTTCACAACTCTACAATATTGATTAAATAATTCATTATTTATACACGTATCGGAAAGAAATGTGAGAAAGTTTCGCGCGCTAAGCGAAGAAATGTGAGAAAATTTTCAAGGTCAAAAATTTCGATAACGATGAAATTGTGCATCAATCAATTTCCACTTGATTGGATATCGCGTAGAGATTTATTGCCAAACAGTTCCCAATCAACATTCAAATGATAAAGCGAGACATTGCATGTTTTTTAAGCATTATTCACACGGAACTCGTTCACTACAGGCATTAATTCGTTCAAAACTTGCATGTGAAGAACAAACAATACAATGACGAATAGGACTGTTGAGGGGAGTTTTTTTTCGCTTGGTTGGGCGTGGGGCAGGTTGCCTCATACAAATCGATAGCGAGCAGACTTATTGTGTGAGGTCGAGACAAGGTCGCTCTTTCAATAAAAAATCGAGTTGCAAACTTTTTATGTTGTGACTCAGCATATGCAAATATGCCAACCTTGAATTCATTTTCTCGATACATAATGTTTTAAGTGCCTCCTTAATTAGCTATTTTTTGTCATTCTGCTCGTAGCCGGTAACGAATCATTATTGCTATTTCAATACCTGTGATTCATTATCATTTATTCATTTGAATTAAAATAACAATAACATTCCTCACTGTCTAAAATTTACTAAGATCAATTCCACTAAACATAATCTATTGACATAAATACTATTTTTAATACTCATTTTCCTTCTCACTGACCCAGAGTGGAATCGACAATCCCGCTTACTGGGACAGGACCGGGTCCCTAGCGAGGACAACTACCCTCAACACAAGTCAGACCCTCAAGGCTGCTGAGGCCGAAGACCATGATGCCTGGGCGACCCTCGACTCCGGGACACCCTGGAATGGTGAGTGGTACTTTTTCTTCGCCCTATACATCTGTACAAGTATGAAAATTGATTAAAAAACATTAAAAACACTGTCAAAAATGATGAAATATGGTGAAATAGGGAAATTCCATATTAATATTCAATAATATATATATTAATTTTATTATTTTGTATCTATTTATATATATGAAATAGGGAAATTCCATATTATTCTAGAATGATGAAAATTTATATTTAGAGTAGTGGTCAGCAAAATCTTCCATTGAGTAAATCAATGGTTTAGAATGTCATATTTTCTAACAGGTTCAGTTAATCTAAATACAAGGTTAATGTTCTTAATTAATTCTCAAATAAATAAATAAATCTAAATCTAATTGTAATATAAAATTTTTCTCAATGTCCAAACTGTTACCTCCAAACATTTTTTATTTAAATTGGCAAGCCCCCTCTGCTTAATGAATCATTCATTTTTATTTAAGCCCATTAAACATGTTAGAATGAAAATAATAAAGAACTCTCAGATATATGCTTCTTTGCACGTATCTATATAACCCATTTCGAAACAGCATGTTATAGATACTTCTAAATTTTAAATACCGTCGCTAATTTCCCACTGGTTCTGTAGTTTTTCTTATTTTATTTTATTCACTCTTTCACGATAATAATTCATATGTCTCTTAATTTCTACAGTAACTATAATAACTTCTTACATATCCAGCTCCTAAAATTCGTCTTTATTTCACAGAGATGACGAGTGTCGAGAAGTGCAAGGCCATCACCATCAATGTCGTCAAAATCATGACGGTGTTCGGGCTGCTCTACTTCTTCATTTGTTCACTGGATTTGCTGTCTTCTGCCTTCAAATTGATTTCGGGAAAAACCACCAGTGAGTTAATTATTAACAACCTCTATTCGTAAGCGAGTAACAACCATGGGCGAGTTATCTGACTCACCTCTAAGCCGACTCTAGTAACTCTAGGGCGACCCAAAATTGCATCTGAATTTTGGCTGTGCGACCAACAAACGCGATCATAGAGTCAAATAACTACTAGTGAGTTAACTGATCAACAACCACTTTTGTCTAGAACCACTTATTAGTTAACGCATCTCTGATTTAATGATGCTTAACTAATAAATAACCACTAGTGTCTAGAACCAAATGTAAGTTAACACATCTCTGATTTGATGATGCTTAACTAATCAACAACAACTAGTGTCTAGAACCACATATAAGTTAACGCATCTCTGATTTGATGATGCTTAACTAAAACGAACGCGATCACAGTGTCAAATAACTACGAGTGATTTAAGTAATCACACAATCACTTTTGTCTAGAACCACTTATAAGTTAACGCATCTCTGATTTGATGATGCTTAACTAATCAATAACCACTAGTGTCTAGAACCACAAATAAGTTAACGCATCTCTGATTTGATGATGCTTAACTAATCAACAATCACTAGTGTCTATAATCACATATAAATTAACGCATCTCTGATTTGCATGATGCTTAACTAATCAACAACAACTAGTGTATAGAACCACATATAATTTAACGCATCTCTGATTTGTATGATGCAATTCTTGACTATCTACAATGCTCAGGTGATCTGCTGGGGGGAGAATACATGAGTAACCCCATCGTGGGGCTGGTGGTGGGGATCCTGCTGACGGTGCTGGTGCAGTCCTCCTCCACCTCCACGTCCATCGTCGTCTCCATGGTCTCCGCAGGACGTGAGTTATACTACAAGATGCACTAAGACTAAATTAATTTATTGCTTATATCTCTTTATATTAAGTATCCTACAAGTAGTTCAATTTCTGAATGGTGGTGATAAAAATTCTTTAAAAATTAGTATATTACTCGATGGGGTCACCCGTGCAGAGTTGATCTTTGTTAAATGCTCGTACAATTGAACGCTTAGAACATCTCTCCTCATAATTGATTTTTGAATCCGGTTTTTATCATTTTTTAGAACAATATTTTATTCGTAACCATGCACAATATTCAAAAATCTTTCTGTTCTCTCATTCTATCATAACTCATGTTTTAAAGATGACAAATTTATATTGAATGTTGCTCCCAGTTATGCACTTCCTTCAGTACTCACGTTATTAACTTGTCAAATACTTGTTTTTAAACTGAATGTCATTCCCAGTTTTACATTTCCTTCATTACTCACTTCATTAACTTGTCAAATAATTCTTATTAAACTTAATTTCGTACCCGTTTTGCATATCCCTAATTTCTCATGTTATACACTTTTTAAATATTTATTCTCAAACTGAATGTTGTCCCCAGTTCTGAATGTGCACGACTCCATCCCAATCATCATGGGCACCAACATTGGCACGTCGGTCACCAACACCATCGTCTCCCTCACCCAGGTCTGACACCAAAGATTATTACGGTTGATATTAAGAAGTAGATAATTTAAAATTACATCTTGAAATGGGAGATACAATGCTATTAAATTACAAATTTCGAAATTAAATTAAATTACAAATCGAATGCTATTCGATTACTAAACTTAATGTTGAGGATTTTTCTTTAACCTTTGATCGGAAAAAAATATCCTTCATAAGGATAAGTCTGAAAAAAATGACAATTATCAAGGAGGGGACGTAAAGTATTCTTCACTAGGGTAGGGCAGTCAAGAATCCTTTCTCAGGTTTAGGGATTAAAATATCCTCTATGGGGGTAGGGTAGGGATCCTTTATCAGTTTGGGTACTAAAATATCCTCTATGAGGGTTGAGCAGGGATCCTTTATCAGTTTGGGTTCAAAAATAACCTCTATGAGGGTTGAGCAGGGGAGTAACATTTATCCTTTGTATAAGCCTCCCATTATAAAAGAATTTAAAAGAAAATAAAAGAAAATTCATCATATCGATATTGAAAACGTTTCAGAGTCCAGCTCCATCATCAGTTCGACTAAACCAAAAAAGAGCTTTTTTTTTTAGGTTAAGCGAACTGATAATGGAGCTGGACTCCGAAACGTTTTCAATATCGATATGGTGAATTTTCTTGGCGTTTTCTTTGCTTTTAAATTCCTTGTGAACTTGCGATATAAGCAGACTGATAATAAAAGTCCTCACATTATCATTATAATACCGTTCACCTGACACCTCCCGCCCCCTCGCAGGCCGGTGACCGGGAGCAGTTCCGCCTCGCGTTCGCAGGCGCAACGGTGCACGACATGTTCAACTGGCTCAGCGTCATCGTTCTGCTCGTCTTAGAGATCGCCTTCGGTCAGTTCTTTGGGCTCAAATCAAACTATTTAGCGAACATTACTAATAAACACTGTTATTTATCTTGTCTTAAGACTTCTTTTTCATTAGGTGTTCATTTGTTAATTTTTCTTCTTGACACTCGTTCCTCAATTCCATTTTTTCATATCATATGTGTTATCATTATGTTTATCAAAGTCTTTTATTTCTTTGCGAATTTTGTTTTACATGAAATACTACTAACCTAAATGAGGAATTTGTAGAAATTCTATGAATCTTCCCGTGCGTCAGGCGTCCTGGAGAAGCTGACAGACACTATCGTGGAGTCCGTGGCGCCTGGCTCAGGATCAGACGTGAAGATTCTTAAGGTCATCACCGAACCCTTCACGGACCTCATCATCGAGGTAATGATAAAAATTGTGGAATTGAACGAATGATTTCATGATAACTGTTGAGAAATGTGATTCCTCTGAAGGTTTTACAATCGAGGTGAGTAAGCCAAATGATGTCAAGTTGAAAGTTTAACTGAAGCAGCTCAGCCCAAGGCTTAGAGGTGAGACCAGGGAAATTATTAATTATCACGTCTTTGAAGCGGTATTTTAAAAATTAACCATGTTATTATTAGGCAGTTATAAAATTCAGCCAATTAAAAGCGATTAAGAATAATTACGGTGTACTGGAATTTTCTTTGGTGGTCTTAGTTTATTTATTTAACAGCGACTTCTTTTCAAGTAGGTGACGTGAAAAAATTTAAGAAGCATTCATTTTAAATCGCGTCTTAGATTATTAATGAACCGTTTTTTCCGATATTCCAATGAAAATTCGATGTAAATTACTTAACATTTTCATTGCTAATTACTTCACTGACGTTGCTCATTTTTTTATTGGACATATTAAAAAAATTTAATTTGTTGTTCGACAGTAAATGAATTAGTTAAATCGAAATTAGTTTATTCCTAAAGTGACCATAAAAGTCATATTCAATTTTCTGATTTATACCAATAAAAATTAATTCCATAATTCATGTTTAATTTGGGGACTTTCCTCAAGTATTACACCTGCATGTTCTTCATATCTTTATTTTTTAAACTCGCAGCTGGACAGCAAAGTCATGAAATGCTGGGGCTTAGGCCAGTGGCTGGACAAGGACTCTATCATCAAGCAATACTGCAAGTCCTACAGGAACAGCTCCTACGCTCCTATTGAGCCGCTACCCCTCAACGTTACCTCGAGCGACTGCTACGAAGATCCTACGAAAATCGGCATTGAGGATTCATGTCATTTTGCTTTCTACAACACGACTCTGACTGACAGTCAAGTGGGAATCATCTTGCTGGTGCTGTCCCTGTTCATCCTCTGCGTGGCGCTCATCTTGATCGTTAAGCTTCTCAACTCAATGCTTAAAGGTGAGACAATAATAATACATAACTACGGCCCCTATTAAGAAGTAACTTAGCAATTGTCGATATAGCGTATGAAGTCTATATTATAACATCACGCTCTCACAAAGTAGCATTTTTACCGAAAGATCTTGTTATGAACCGAAGAAAAATTAAAAACATACTAAGAGGAGAAAAGAGGAGCAAAAAATTTATTTTCCACTAACAAATTTTGTGAGATTTAATTATATAAAAATGCAACATTTTTTTAATTTTGAATTATATTAAATTCAAAAGCGACAATTTAAATTCATCAGAGACGTTTCAAATTGATTTTTTAAGACTTTACGTAAAAAATTTAAAATTGTAAAACCTTGAGATCCCGAAAAAATAAATGAAATATGAAAATTATAACTAGATAATTACAAATAGAAAATAAAAAATAGGAAAATTTCCTAGTATTACATTTTAGGGATCCTAAAATAAAAAATATCGTTTGCAGGAAGCATCGCAATCGTGATCAAAAAGACGCTGAACGCCGACATCCCATACGTGCCGTGGCTGACGGGCTACATCGCCATCCTCATCGGCGCCGTCATGACCTTCATCGTCCAGTCATCATCCATATTCACGTCCACACTCACCCCACTCATCGGTACGGTCAAGTCCTCAACGGATGTAATAATAGTCTCTGAGTTCTGATCGTTATCCTCTTCTTTAGTCAATTGAAACAAAAATTTTCGGTAATATGAGAAGGAATTTTGATATAATGACGCAGCAAGTTCTGGACCTCTTGTTTCTCTTAGAATGGACAGTTATTATTCAGTTATTCTGCGCAGTAATTCATAACGCATCAAAATTCGTACAACGCTTTGTCACAGTTCATCTCCCTATAATTATCCATGAATCGTGAAACCTTAGACCATTTACAACGCTTAAGAATAGAATATCATTGTAATTAATCTCAATCTCGCCCACTCAATTAACGTTTAATCAATAGATGAATTAATTTAAATTAATTAACCTCAACCTCGCCTCCCTCAATTTACTTTTACTTAATTGATGAACTAATTTAAATTAATTTACCTCAACCTCGCCTCACTCAATTAACTTTTGATCAATAGATGAACTAATTTAAATTAATTAACCTCAACCTCGCCTCCCTCAATTTACTTTTACTTAATAGATGAACTAATTTAAATTAATTAACCTCAAGCCTGGAGCCGTCTTCTTGTTGTCTCTTGGTGAGTGACGAATGACATTCCTGTTTTCATTATATTTCATCAAACTTCTTGACAAACTGACGGTAGCTTTGGTTAACAGTTATTGAGATATATCTCGAGGAGTTCTTCTAAGTTTAAGAATAAAGGCCAAAACTAAACAAGTTGCATAAAACATTTTACTGAATTTCGGGCATAGCCCGAAACGTTCTGTTTTGTTTATCTAGGACTTCTATTCAGTAAAATGTTTTATGCAACTTGTTTAGTTTTGGCCTTTATTGAGATATGAATCGCATTGACGACAGTTATAGTGTGGAAAAGAGGAAACGCCATCATAAAACATCCCGCCTTAGCCGTGTCTAACTCACTTACATAGCACAACCGTGTCTGTGAAGTGTATTTAGTTTTATTTTAAGGAAACAGAAGAACATTGCCTGTTAATGGGACTTTTAATTAGAAAACATTAATTGATTCCCAAGTTTTTTGAATGCGAATTTTAGTGGCAACTGATTTTGAACTTAATGTTCAAAAGATATCATTTCCGTTTGATATTTGGATTGTTACGTCGGCTTTAATTTTTACACAAACCGATTGTAATTTATTAATTCAATTTTCACAAGGGGATGCCTTAGAAACATTATTGAAAACTGAGTGACTGCTAACTAATTCTATTTGATTTGCAGGTGGACCGATTGTCCTGTGGTCTGTCCTCGGACCCATCATTATCTTCTTCGTCTTCATTGGGATAATCAATTTCATCCAAAACAAGAAGCCAAGTCTGCTGCCAAAAATTCTTCAGAATTGGGAATTTTTACCGAAACCTCTTCGGTCTCTGGAGCCTTATGATAAAGTCCTCACAGGACTCCCGTGCTGCAAGTGCTGCAAGTCCTGCCAGTCCCCGCCTCCTGCAGACGTCGAGTCCGTCTCCACCAGAAGCAATAGCGTCTCACTTGCGTCCGAAAAAGGTGTTGACAACTTGGCTTTCCGCTCGTAATAACTGAATCAAATTAAATTAAAAATAATTAACTTCGCCTGAAACGGTTGCTAAATAGTTGGCCTGAAACGGAACTTTAATTATGAATGGTGATTACTCGGTCAGTGGCGGATAGCTGAAGTGTCAAATTGATGTGATTACCTCTTAAAACCCACGATGAAAATTTTTTCATCAAGTGAGGCCAAAGGTGATTCTGCTCTTGGTTAATGCAACAAAAATCAAAGTGATCATGATAAGTACGAGGAAGGATCAAACAACGAGAATGATCACACACAGATAATGAATCAACTTGTATAGAACAAGAATTATGACCGCTATTTCTAACAATGCGACACTCTGGAGTACTGTTACATTCTACTGGACACCAGGGTTGTTGATGTTATTATATGATTTTATAATAACTATTTCACCATACTAATTTTTGGTGACTTCAATCTTCATCCATTACAATTCTTCACTGCACATTAATCGATGCTGCTCTCATTCTGTCCGCGAATAATATATGATCTCAATTTAAAGAGGCGGTCAGATGGGGCTCATAACGATAGTTCTAGAAGAACATAAGTCTCATTACGAATAAATGACCTAAAAGAACGGTTGTTCATACTGAAACACAGGTTTTTACTTAAGAATACAAACAGTTTTACGAAAACTGATGTAAAAATAATTTTTTCATTATTTATGCGCTTTCAGAACTGTTTGGTCATGACATCATGGTTTTAAAGTCAGCCTAAAATCATTCAAGACTTAACGCTCCTTAATGGGTGCAAGTGCATGCATTCTTAGGACACCCAACTAGTCAGTATTATTTTAATTCTAGAAAAGATGCGTATGCCTGCATCCTATTTTGTCGTTTTTTGTCTTTACCTTAAAGCGCAAACATAAATTATGTACGTGCTTGTTTGCTTGCCATTTCCATATAAAGCACGCAGTGATTAAAACATTATACATGAGCTTGAATCGGACGTATTTTGTAACCGTCAACCGCAATAAGAGATCTATTAGAATTAAGTAAATATATTTTTCTGTAACGGTTGGAGATTCAAATGATTGATCGAACGCAGGCCCGGATTTATAATAACATCATATCAATATTTTTGTAATTAGCATGGGCGATCAACGCTAACTATTGTACCGTTAAGTATTGTCAGTAACAAATTGGTACTAGCCTACGAATATGTATAAGTAATGTGACAGCAACGTTGTGAACAACAGAAAGTGTATTAAATTTTGGTCTGCTGTTGAAAAAAATTAAAAAATTGTTTCCGGGTAAAAATCTTTGTTTCTGTTGCTGACACGATCATGTTCACCATTTTTAGGTAATCACTAGATAAACATTTATTATATTGACCAAGATATGAAGTTCTGTTCTGATGTTGTTATTGCAGGAACAATAATATTCTAATAATGTAATGTGGCACTACAAACGAAAAATGTCTTTAAGGCTCAAAATTAATCAATGTTTGCGATTTCCGCGACTGATTCTTTCGTATATTTGTGTACATATATTTTATTGAAGTTATACGAGGAGCCATAATTATTGCCTGTATATAACCGTAGATTACTTAGCTTATAAGTGCATTGTTTGCTTCTAGCGAAAACTATTTATGTACGTCCCATTTAATCTCTGTAATCAGAGTTGCGGTCGATGTTTCAAAGTATAAAAAAATCAAAGCTCATTGATGCATATTTGCCGAATATTTAGGAGGATTTATCCACCTAAAAAATCTATGGCATTGTAAATTTTGTTGTCTGAAATATTTTCAATAACTACGCAACGTTGAAGAAAATATGGATTGTGAACTTATAGCGACAATAGTTCTCATTGCGCTGCTGAAATTTCGTGACCAATAAGAAGCTAATGATTTCTTTTGCCTTTTATTAATCATGACTTATAACTTGATATTTTAATAGAAACTATATCCTCTATCCGCTTGCCTGATTTGTGGCATTTTTAAAACTCGGTTCACGCAGAGTTTCGTTTCCGTTGCGTCAGTATGAAGGGATGTGAGGTTCTCTAATTCGAGGGAAATATAAGAAAACTTTGTTCATCAGAAAGTTGAAACACGTAACAAATTTTAAAGAAGTTTTTGTGAAGATTTTCTACGAAAAAAGTACATGAAACCGCACATGTTTAATATGAAGAAAAAAAACTATCTACATTCTACAGTAACTTTGGCTGCTGAATGATCCAAATATAAAACAGGTTAATCCAGAAATTGTCAAATGTTCCTAAATTTATATTTTGTTGTACAAATATCGTTTCGACTGCATTTACGTCATGAATAACGATTGCCGATGTAATCTGCAGTTGTAATTTTCTTCTTACCATTGCTTGCTAGACACAGTCACAGACATGAGCAGACAACAAATAAGTTTAATATTTAACATCGGACAGCATACGATGCATAGCAACCATATTTTGACAGTAATTATCATCGGATTGAATGCGGTAAAGATCCATGTCATTATAGACATTTTGGATTGCAATGTCTCAAGGAGTTGAGATTTTCTGCGCATTTTGGAACGCAAATTAATAAATCAAATTAAGCGAAAAGGACAAAATTTAGTAGAAAGAGTTCCAAGACGTGCAAAAAGGATAATTCCAGGCTTAAGAGGCAAGCCTTACGAAGAAAGATTAGAGATCATGAAGTTTCCAGGTCTATTTTATCGCCAACTTCGTGGCAACCTGGTTGAAGTATTTAAGTATACTCTTGGTTTATACAAGGTCCCAAAAGGATTACTCAAATTTGAAACAAGAACCAACACCGAATCTTTTCAGTGTTGAAAAGATTCGGTCCAAGGACGCGTAATACTGCTGGTATGAACGCGTACAAGAACAGCTTTGACAATGCTATGCAGAGGTATATATTCAGACCTGAAATGCCTAGCACCTCACGGGCCAGTCAGAAGTCTAGTAGCTTTTTCAAACCAACGACAGTTTAGAAAAGGTCTGTCAAACTAAAGGTTTTAGATCTCCTGGTGAAAAGTCACGAAAAGTACCACAATTGTCAACAGGCCACACCAGGTCTGTTCTTCAGCGCAGACATTACTATATCGTTAAGTTATGTTATGCTATATTATGGTATGGTATGTTATGGTATGGTATATTATGTTGTGTTATGTTATGTTATGTTATGTAAGCGTTAGTTTCGTTACTGAAGACGCTGTTGAACCTCCCTCTGACATACAAGTATGATGCTGAGGATACAAACCCCATAGACGAGTCTATGTCTCTACATTTTAGGCTTTGGCAAGGTCTAAACTATGAAAATGAGACGAGACAATTAGTTGAGATTGTGGTGCTTGTTACTGTATGCAAAATCCTAATTAAAACCGGTTTTCATACAAAAGGAATATTTTTATATCATCGTACATTCAGCCAATTCAAAATTTCTACCTTAATACTACAAACGAATAATTTTTTAATTAAGTAAAGTAATCATTCAAGCCATCATTTGAGTGGATTAATTTAATACGAATAATGTAATTAATAATACGCTGATAAAAGTATTACTTCGATTGAAGTGTTCGATATTTATGCATAAAAATTTGGATTTTGTGTTAGTAATTTCATTTACTGGTGTAATTTAAGAATATTCTCTCATGATGTGCTGCTCTCGCGTAGTGGTACTGGCAAGGTTTTGAACAGCATTCGATAAATAAGATAGTATGTGCAGGAAACGTTTTTTCAAATGCCGAGAGTTCATTCTAGGTGATACTAAAGTAAAAATGGAATATATCGTTCAAGTGAATCCGAAACTTGCAAATGAAAGTTAAAAATTGTATCTCGTTTAGTGAGGCAAAGACGCCAATTTTTTAGAGATAAATATGTAATAGATTAGGTTACCTTCATTGCATTCAATACTTAGCTCTTCTAATCTTGCCATTCAATCAATGCATGCAATAAAACATAAAAATTTTCATCATCTTCATGTCTTTCAAATAAATGTGTCGAATTGAGAAACTTTGTTAAGACCTTTTCAAATTTTGGAAATCGTTTGTGGAGTTTTTCTCTGTGTGACAGCAGTCGCATGAATTTGGTCTCATTTTATTTAAACTTTAACTACAGAACGAAAGGATTTACTGAGCTACTATCAATCAGTTAGAGGTGACTAACTCGGTCGGCTGTTACCTGTTGGTTAACTCTACAAGCGAGTCAGTCTTGAGTCTATAAACTGTGCAAGTGAATCAGTTTAGAGTCGGTGAACTCAGTGAATTTATTGTTTAAAAAGTTAAAGCATGAGCTGCCTTAAATTTGGCATATGTGTGATCATCAAAATAAGAGAACGGCAAAAATTTATTTAAATTTATATATTAAATAATTTATGGTTATTTGAATTTATGTAATTACTTGTGCTTTGCTTACTCTTGCTTAAACAATTCCATTATCAGGGTCTAATTTGTTCTTGTCGTTGTGAATATTTTTGTTGTACTCGATTAACAATTTCTTTATTCATTTCCACATTTTATTTGTAAAAAAATTATCTACGACCTTGCGACCTATTTCCGGTCATTGGATTGAGAAAGCAAATCATGATAATTTTATCCATAATTATTGCAATCTGTATCATGGATTGATCGAGAGACTTAAAGTCATTAAAACTATCCTAATATAAAGTCGCTTTATATAGTATATTTATTCGACTTACCACAACAGCCAGCAGTTCTGTTCGATTTGTCTTTCTTACAAACAAGCGACAACGGTCGCTTAAGGGCGACGTACCGTATAGGGGCGATAACGGCGTCAGTTTATACGACATACCCGCTACCGGTGACTGTGAATTATAGCTTGTCTAGGTGAAATACGGGAGAAGTGGCAATGACAGCCCGTTATGGCACCGTCGTTACTCTGTCAGCCCGTTATGGCAACGTCCCCTCCACCGGTGAACGTCGGTAACGTCACGGGTGCACGTTATGGCAACGTCGCCCCTCTTGGCGCCTGTTAAAGCAGCTCAGCCCGTACGGCAGAGCAACAACGGCAGGTCTACGATGTGCTGCGTATTTTCCCGATGTTTACGCGGGCACTGAGCGCTCGGGCGCCGCGGTCTGATGGCGTGCGCCGCTTTGCGCAACGACCGCCGGCGTCTCGTCAGCGCGGTGCTAAAGCGCGCGCCTCAAACGCCCAGTGTAACGAAATCAGCGAGAGATCTGAGGGCGCCTCTTGTGAGGGTCGTGAGGTTGCTAGTTAGTGAGAGCTGTGAGATTGCCACTTGTGAGGGCTGTGAGGTTGTCACATGTGAGGGCTGAGAAGTTGGCACTTGTGAGGGCTGAGAAGTTGTCACCTGTGAGGGCTGAGAAGTTGCCACTTGTGAGGGCAGTGACATTGCCACTTGTGAGGGTTGTGAGGTTGCCACTTGTGAGGGCTGAGAAGTTGCCTCACGTGAGGGTTGGAAGTTTGTTGAAGTAAAGAAGGCTGTTAAGGCACTGACGACTGAGAGCTGTGAAAGCTTCTACTCGTTTCGCCGGCTGCTCTGTTTTGCAGGTTCAACACCCAAGCACACCCAGCAGTTAGGTTCATGCTTTTTTATCTGCAAGGTAAAATCTTTGTCTATTCCAACGATGTTTTGCGCCCAAATATTGCCTGCTTGGCTAACTCATTGCGGTGCACTTTGTTAAGTTCTTACTTGTATTTTACATCAAATTTGAACCTCCGTTGCTCAATATCGTTTCGCTTTATGCCGTGTAGTTTTAAGAATGTCCATTTTGTGAACATTTATTTTATTTCGTTCAGTGATTAACTTGTCCACTATACTCTCGCGCGAGTCGATTTGTATTCTTCATTTCATTAATTAGAGGTCATGTCAATACCATGCCTTTCAATTATGGTGTTTCGTACAGAGCCCGGGAACAGTCATTCTATGTCAGTGTCGATTTAGCCGGTGTCGGTGTAGGGTTGCGCCGCTCTCGCGAAAATCTCTGGACTGGGGAATTGCAGTTTCGTCTCCTAAAGACGTCGATGACCTACCGGCATAATACGGCTCGGTGTTTTGATCAGTGCTTAGATTAAGATGTTTTCACAGATTTTATAAGATAAGACGATTAAGATGTTTTCTCAGATTTTATCTCCATTATAATAACTAGGCATGGAAATTCGTTCCAAAATGATAAGAAATCTGAAGTTTTGGACTTCTAAATTTGTGAAACTGATACAATCATGCGCAAAATGTTTCCCTTGTCATGATGGGCAAAAATTTTCCCTTGTCTCATATAGGAAGAGGTCACTACTCACTAGAATACTCTGTAATTAACCAGTTGGACCAAGTCTACAATGAACTTGTAATGTTGTGCATCTATGCTCATCGCAGTTATTGGGTTTAAATCGAACAGTAAATGTCTTCGTTCATAGTTAATTTATATCACTGTGAGCTACGTAATTGTTGATGTGGGAACGTCCTGAGAAATGGAACGTCCATAACTCCATTTACTACAATTCTTCTTGTCTGAAATAAAGTGTTCGTTTGATGTCAAATTGGCCTCCAATTTGGACCTATTGTCCATTAGTTGATACTTTAGTAACATCATTAATGTCATTAGTGATTGTAACTTATGCAAATATTTACCGAGTTCGGTACGAAATAATTTGAGGATGCGCCGCCTGGGAATGATGAAAAAAAAAAAAAAATCGGATTTGACAGTGTGATCAATTTGGTTTCAAACGCATATGAACATCTAGAACATGTCCTGATTGTTGTATAAATTAGTAGAATCATTCTTCTTATCTCCTTTTTTATCATTATTTGTTGAATCATTCTTATCTCCGTTCTTATTCTTACTAGTTGAATCATACATTTCTCCTTATACTTACTCTTATTAGTTTATAATGTCACTCGTTTGCTTGAATCGCAAATTCATTAAAAATTTAAAAGCAAATAAAACTATACAAAACTCATAGTATCTCTAAATAAAACCTTTTATTTAGAGATACTATGAGTTTTTGTGGAGTTTTCTTTGCTTCTAAGCTTTTATTAGTTGAATCATTGTTATATCATTTCTTATCCATCATTCTAAATTTAAGGTTCGTATCGGGCCGCTCTTCTGTCCAGACCCAGACAAAGGTCGGACAGTTGCCGCCAGCACGGTATAGGTAGCTTGATTTTACATGCCCGGTTGTTGAATTAGCAGTGCCCACACTAGTGCCCGAATGCCGATCACGTTGCGGCTGTCCAGTGTCCAGTGCTGCGTAAGTGTTGGGATAAATTTACAATATATATTCGTTTACTCTAAATGGTTCTTTCATATATTTGAACGAGTTTGGTTAAAAAGTATGTAATTTTTATTCAGAACTTCTTTAGTTAGAGTTCGGTTTCTCCATCTGTCTAATTATGAGTCTTACTGTCAATGAAACACAATAGAACGGATGCTGAATCCAAACGAGATATATGAATAAATTTAAAGACATAGACTGAGCTAAAAAATACGTACGTAGTTCCTGATCCATTCTAATTTGGAACCATGCCCATTGTTGCAAACCATCTGTTTGTTCGTAAGGGATAAAGACTGCATAGGTTTTAATTCGCTCATGAATGAAAACTGATCAGGCTTTGTTTTGTACCTGCATTGCTCCCTGTTCTTCCTCAATTGAAGTACGTGTGCCTGCAAAATTTATGTGGTTGAAGGTTTTAGACGGAGAAGGTTTAAGCCAATAAAATCAGTGACAAATACTTTACACTCTTAAATAAGAGGTAGATGCCTAGCGTTGATGATCAGGCTAGAACTAATGTATGACTTAGGATGTGTGTTAGGTTAAAATCAGCTTGCGTCAGTACATTAGTTGCGTGCGGATAACTGGGAGCGCTTTCGGTAATGAATAAGAATGAATTTTATTTGCGCAACACGTTATTTAAGCCTAAAATCCTTAGCACGACTACATATCATAAATTTTATTGCAGATCTTCTCCTAACTCACAGTTTTTTCTCTGTCTGAATTATCGTCCGGTAAGCCTTGAGCACCTACACTTGCCACTAGATGTGTATTGAAGTCATTAGACAACAAGTGACTAATCTGATTCTTGTGCTGGAAAATTGACGGAAATTCTTATCCGTCTTTTTGCATGGGCGGGGCCCATATATGTTACTGTGACGTGCTTGAAGTTCAGGGCTGTTGTGGTGCCGTCAATTCCACGAAACGATGTAGTGGGAAGAACCGACTGATTAATTCAAACGATAGTTCTAGCATAGTGATTTAAGTGATTCTATTGATTCAATTACAATCAGTTTTATATATATTATGTAGATAATAGTAACGGGATTGTGGTGCAGTAATTCTATCTTCAAGTCTACTTGTGAAGTGATTCTTTTAGCGTGATTCTCTTAAGGTGGTTGGAGAAGAGTGATCATAGTAAAGCCATTTTCGTGAAGTGATTAAATTAAAGTGATTCTAGCGAAGCGATTTATTGAAGCGATTCTACGCAATTGATTCAAGTCATTTTAATCTAGTGAAGCCATTCTTTGAAGGTGATTGTGCTTATGAATGTTTCTTAAGGATAGCTAGCGCATCAAGCAAACCGATCCTAGTACAGTGATACTTAATTGGTGATTGGTTTACGAGATTTCTAGTGAGGTGTTTTAGCTAGTGATTCAAGCAAGTGATTCTAGTCCTTTAATAATTCGCAGTGATACATTCAGCTGTCAAGTTCTTGTCCAGCAATATGGCTGTTACCACCAGCGACCTGATCACCGTGTCACTCCTGCTGCTCGGCCTCTCCAGTAAAGCAGGTGAGTATGAATTAATTTAAATTAATTAACCTCAACCTCGCCTCACTCAATACACCTTTACTTAATTGATGAACTAATTTAAATTAATTAACCTCAACCTCGCCTCACTCAATTAACTTTTGATCAATTGATGAATTAATTTGAATTAATTAACCTCGGCTTCCCGCAGGTATCGGCATCATCTCCGTGGAGCGCGCGTACCCTTTGACCCTGGGGTCCAACATCGGCACGACGACCACAGCCTTGCTTGCCTCCCTCGCGGGAGAGGGCGAGGGCCTTACCAACGCCGTCCAGGTATATAAAATTGACATACATTAATCATTTGATATATTGAGATTATTTCGAAAAAAATGTTCAGTTGTGTACATTTTTCTTTCATGAATTGGTTTGTCTTAATTTATTAATTTTCTTTATTTCCCTTTATTTTGTTTATTGCACTTTTTATTCAATGTTTTTATCTATAAAAGCAGCAAGAAATGATAAAATCAATAAATATTTGCTTAAAAAAAGGGTGTAATAGTCTAACGATACGATTTTCATTTCTTAAAATTAATCTGTAGCGGAATATTTTCTACGTTGGTTAATTGCAGGTACATGAAACTGGTAATTCTGTACTGCCTGAAATGTGTATGGAATGACTACATAGATGCTTTAAAATTTCAGCCACATGATGGAAAAATATCAAGTTTGGCATATTTTTAGGTTCATACCCAAATTCAATTGAATTATTTCCTTCAGATTGCATTGGTGCATCTCTTCTTCAACATCTTCGGCATCCTGATATTCTACCCGATTCCGTTCATGCGGTTCCCGATCCCGTTGTGCAAAATTCTCGGCGACATCACCGCCCGGTATCGATGGTTCGCTATTGTTTACCTCGTTGGCATGTTCTTCGTCATGCCTGGAGCCGTCTTCTTGTTGTCTCTTGGTGAGTGACGAATGACATTCCTGTTTTCATTATATTTCATCAAACTTCTTGACAAACTGACGGTAGTTGGTCATGACTCTAGTTGGTCAAGACCAAGTTGGTCAAGACCAACTAGAGGTCGAGACCAACTAGAGGTCAAGACCAACTTGGTAGTTGGTCAAGATCAACTGACTCTAGTTAACAGTCATTGAGATATGAATAGCATTGACGACAGTTATAGTGTAGAAAAGGGGAAACGCCATCATAAAACATCCCGACGTAATCGTGTCTAACTCGCTTACATAGCAAAATTGTGTCTGTGAAGTGTATTTAGTTTTATTTTAAGGGAACAGGAGAACATTGCCTGCTAATGGGAGTTTTAAATAGAAAACATTAATTGATTCCTACGTTTTTCAATGTAAATTTTAGTGGAAGCTGATTTTTGAACTTAATATTCAAAAGATACTATTTCCGTTTGATTTTTGGGTTGTTACGTCGGTTTTACTTTTTACACAAACCGATTGAAATTTATTTAATCAGTTTTCACAAGGGGATGGGCGGATGGCTTAGAAACATTATTGAAAACTGAATTCACCAGGGGATGGGCGGATGGCTTAGAAACATTATGGAAAACTGAATGATTGCTTACTAATTCTATTTGGTTTGCAGGTGGACCGATCGTCCTGTGGTCTGTCCTCGGACCCATCATCATCTTCTTCGTCTTCATTGGGATAATCAATTTCATCCAAAACAAGAAGCCAAGTCTGCTGCCACAAATTCTTCAGAATTGGGACTTTNTGCAAAATTTATGTGGTTGAAGGTTTTAGACGGAGAAGGTTTAAGCCAATAAAATCAGTGACAAATACTTTACACTCTTAAATAAGAGGTAGATGCCTAGCGTTGATGATCAGGCTAGAACTAATGTATGACTTAGGATGTGTGTTAGGTTAAAATCAGCTTGCGTCAGTACATTAGTTGCGTGCGGATAACTGGGAGCGCTTTCGGTAATGAATAAGAATGAATTTTATTTGCGCAACACGTTATTTAAGCCTAAAATCCTTAGCACGACTACATATCATAAATTTTATTGCAGATCTTCTCCTAACTCACAGTTTTTTCTCTATCTGAATTATCGTCCGGTAAGCCTTGAGCACCTACACTTGCCACTAGATGTGTATTGAAGTCATTAGACAACAAGTGACTAATCTGATTCTTGTGCTGGAAAATTGACGGAAATTCTTATCCGTCTTTTTGCAAGGGCGGGGCTCATTTGCTAAACTGTGACGTACTTGGAGTTCAGGCGGTAGTGGTGCTGTCTATTCCACGAAACGATTTAGTGAGAAGAACCTAATGATTAATTCAAACGATAGTTCTAGCATAGTGATTTAAGTGATTCTATTGCTTCAATTACAATCAGTTATATATATTATGTAGATAATAGTAATGGGATTGTGGTACAGTAATTCTATCTTCAAGTCTACGTGTGAAGTGATTATTTTAGCGTGATTCTCTTGAGGTGGTTCGAGAAAAGTGATCATAGTAAAGCCATTTTCATGAAGTGATTAAATTAAAGTGATTCTAGCGAAGCAATTTATTGAAGCGATTCTACGCAATTGATTCAAGTCATCTTATTCTAGTGAAGCGATTCTTTGAAGGTGATTGTGCTAATGCATTTTTCGGATAGATAGCGCATCAAGCAAACCGATCCTAGTACAGTGATACTTAATTGGTGATTGGTTTACGAGATTTCTAGTGAGGTGTTTTAGCTAGTGATTCAAGCAAGTGATTCTAGTTCTCTAATAATTCGCAGTGATACATTCAGCTGTCAAGTTCTTGTCCAGCAATATGGGTGTTACCACCAGCGACCTCATCGCCGTGTCAGTCCTGCTGCTCGGCCTCTCCAGTAAAGCAGGTGAGTCGCCTGTTATATACGCTCTTGTCAGACCTTTTTTATTATATTACATTGAAGTCTTCCGGTCGGCGTTTTTGTGCTCTGAAACTGATATTTACGTGTCCGTTGGATGCGGGCTTTGCATCCTTATTTGACTGATGGAGCAAAGTTAGGTGCCTTTCGCGGGTAAGCATCAAAATATTCAGAAATTTCAATTTTTGGAGTCACTACGAGAAATTACGGAGAATTATACGATAATTTTAATCCTATGATTTTTCAAAATTCAATAAAAAGCTGTCCCAACGCTAAAACGAATTGAAATTTTTTTAATTTATCAAATCAAATGCCAAGTAAAAATATCAAGCTGCAATTGGTTTAATTTTTTTAAAGCTAATGTTTAAGGTGCGCCGCTTTCATTGTCCAAGTCGAAACTTTTATTCAAATGCTAATTTTTTAATTCCAGTGTATGATATACGGTGAAGGTATGATATACGAGTGGATGGGCGGATAATTGGTGATTGGAATAGGGATGACAATTGGTATATTGGTGATTGGCATAGGCATGACAATTGGTATATTGATGATTGGCATAGGCATAGCAATTGGTATATTGATGATTTGCATAGGCATAGCAATTGGTATATTGGTGATGGTCATAGGCATGGCAATTGGTACGGTATATTGGTGATTGGCACAGGCATGGCAATTGGTATTTTGGTGATTGGCATAGACATGGCAATTGGTATATTGATGATTGCATAGGCATGACATGATGGCATATTGGTGATTGGCATAGGCATGGCTAAGTAGCCTCAAACACAAACCAGGGTATGAGCTGGGTTTTATTGGAAGGAGAATTTAAGTGATCATATTTGGTAACTTGCCCGCTAAAAGGTTATAAGGTGCTTATACACTGAGAAAGTATATAAGCCGATAGTGGGAGCGGTAAGTATTTTCCTCTTCGAATATTATCCAATTTCCCCGTTAATATGCATCTTTAACGCAGCTGCTCGATGCCATTCTGTTTCAATTCACCTTTCATTTTGTCTAATTAAAGTGCATTTATTCCGAATGCTGTGATGAAGGTAGTTCACTTCATCCGAGACTATTTTCAACAGATATTTCTAATTTTTTGTTATCTTTAGTTGTTTTCTTGCGTAATCGTTTCCTTTTTTGGGTCTATCGGAGACTGTTTTCATATTTAGTCTCGGTAGTTATCATGTCTAATCGTTGCTATGCACAAGATTATGAGTAATTTTTTCATTCCTGTGAAATTGAAGACTAAGTTTCTTGACACTCATTAAAATCAAAATGGGTTAACAGGAGACACGTTTTCTAATACATGACCGACGCTGTTGTACATTTCAGTTAAATCCTGGTTGTGCTGAAAACATACGAGCCTCAATGAGCCGGGCTCATGCTTATGCAGCAGATAACTTTCAAGTTACACCCTTGTGTGGGATCACAGCCGGCTGATGAGTGGCCCACGGTTGGAGTGTACCAATTCGATTCCCATTTTAAATAGGGTTGCAGGGTATTTACCGTTGTTGTGAAGGCAACTAGAGTCTAACAGCTCTAATTGGCTACTTTATTTGTGCGCTTTATTTATTAATTAATTTATTAGTCTGTTTACGAACGAGTTGCATTACTAAATTGAACTGCTCTCAGAGTCTATTAATGCGAGGACATCGAACAATCGTTAAAGATTTGCCCTGAATAAATTTAGCTTGTGAAGTTTTGTTTGCATCGTAATGTGTCGAAAGAGTTTTCTAATAATAATTTTAAATTTTTAATCGATTTCATGAGCAAATTTTGAACTTTGTGATGCGGAATTGCAAAATTTTGTGATGCGGAATTGCAGAATTTGAAATTGTTATCTTTGAAAATTTTTGCTAATTTTAAGGTACATGTGGATGTTCATAATGTGAATTTTTAATAGTGAAATCTTGCTTTAGGTCTAACTTCAATCCTGTTGGGTCGTGCATTGGTGAATTTTTTCCCTTTAAGTTACATGTATCAGGTAGGAATGTAAATTTTTTTGTTGGCGTCACCAAATCAAACGACATGGTTTCGCAACGCAGTACAAATTCCCTTGCCTATTTTGAGGTGACTAAGAAGTATAGCATAGACGAGTGTTTCTCACATAGCTACATTTCGTATAGTTCTATAACAACGCAGTATCTAATAATACCCTTACCTAATGAATTAATATACATTTCAAACCCCACAAATGTGTAGAAAAGGCCTCTGTTATACAAGGCAAATTAAAACGACCTTTTAAAAAATTTTATTGGGCATATATATACTAAAGGGACCCGGTAACCACTCCCAATGAAAAGCCGTAGCTGAGTAATAGATGAACGATCGTAAGCAACGAAGCCAATCAAATGCTACTATTAAAAATAACGCGGCAATCATTGATAGCACTAAAAATTTTTAATAAATTTCTATTTGTTGAAGAGAAACATTGGAACTCATCAGCGCTCATTCGCCAATATTAATTATTTGGTTAATTCTCGAAGGCGGGCCGGACGCGTGGCCGCCGAGGGGGCGATTGAGATCATCCCGGTTCAGTGTTTCCGGACCCTTTCTGATTTTCCGGGTTATTTGTTAATAAGAAAAAGATCTACGAGGACTAAGGCGCCTGATATTTTCTCTTTTCAAGTTGAATCGTCAGAAATGCCAGAAATTCGTGAGGTAAATCCGAAGTTATTGACAATATTGGACGGCCTATGGGTGGCCTAATCCTCCCAACCCCGACTCTCACGATCTGGCGTCAAAGCTAAAAAAATTTTCACCGTTTTCCCGCACATTTTTATCAATTCCGGTGTCATTTTTCCTTGATGGACATTAAAAATACTAAACATTCTATAAAACTTTTTTAAAATTTAATAGAAACTTTTATGTTGGAGAAATTATAGCCTAAAAATACTTAAAATTGTTCTTTTTCTCCCACAATTTTTTTCGATTTCTCACGGCACTTATATATGAAGATTACCTGTTTTTGTTCCCATTTAAGGTACTTTTCCTCTTTGTTCTCTGTACCAAGAACCTTTCTTTTGTTCTCCTGATGTTCTCCAACAAGGAAACTTGGCGCCATGGAATTAATCACTGAGATCTTCCTCTGTCTTGTTGCTGGAGTCGCCGGACCATCAATCTCCTGCTCCAGTCTACTGGCAGTGCGTCTCCATCAATCTCCAGCTCCTCAATCCTTACTTTGCCACCGGCGACTATCATCGTCTTGAATTCCGATTTACAGCTTGTGCCTGTCTACTAGTGGTGCATGGTCACTAGGTGGTGCGTGTCTACTAGTGGTGCATGGTCACTAGGTGGTGCGTGTCTACTAGATGGTGTACGGCAACTAGGTGGTGAGTGTCTACTAGATGATGTACGGCAACTAGGTGGTGAGTGTCTACTAGATGATGTACGGCCATTAGGTGGTGCGTGTCTACTAGATGGTGTACGGCAACCAGATGGTGCACGGCCACTAGGTGGTGCGCGTTCACAACTAGTGCCATTTCACGCACTTTATTTGTCGATTGCCGAACTTTAACATGAGGTCCATGGCTTTTATCAACCAAGTACGCTCAATCGTCAGCTGGTACAACACAACCTAATCCCAGATGGTTTACATTCTTCAAATCCCAGAATCATAACACGAGTCCCAGCTGACGTCCTTCCCTCAACTCTCAGCTCACTCTGTTACATCGTTCTGCTGGCTCATGAGCTCGAATCCCAGCTGTTCTACATCGTTCAAGTCCCTGTTGGCTCTCATCCACCGAAATCTTCTTGGATTACATACCCAAACTCTGAACTTGGTTATACCTTGAGCCTTATAACCACAGTTCATTCGGATGTTGTAAAGTCGAAAATTCTATTAAATTTTCTACTTAAGTTCTGCTAATGACCATGAAAAGCTCGTCGAGATTAGGCGGAAATCTTTAGAAAACTGGGCTTTATTTAGCGTAAAGAAGCACAGGTCAAATTCTTGCGTATTATAACTCACATTTTTTGCTATAACATTTGATATTTTTTTCCCGACCGACAGCCATGACGTATTGTGCTTTGCATGCGAGATATGCGTCCTATTGACCAGCAAAAAAATTCATTTATTCGTTTCACGATCGGAGATTTGAACGCCGGGAGGTTTCAATGGGGGATTATGTTGAGTGATTGATTTTTTATTTGCTTTTCACACCTCCGTCCTCCTCCCTAATCTCCAGATCATGCATTGTGCTTCCTCCTCCATCTTCTCGGGTGCTGATCGTGTTCAATGAACTCGTGTACAGTATTTCGTGGCTGTCGTCGGGTGTCGTTGTTTAATGCTTGCGCCGACAACGGTCGCTACTATTCTGCTAGCGCTTTCATGTAGGTTATTGTTGCGTTCGGAATATCAAAGTTTATGTCTGATTTACGTCCTATATTATGCGATAATTTTAAATAATGGGGTATTATAATTAGATGATAATTTAAATTTTCACTCAAAACGAATTTTTTACATTGCATATATATTACATAAATTATTTTCTTAGCATAATAATTATGATTATGAAATAATCGATATAATAACTAATCACAAGACGGAAATGGTCAGTAAAATAATCAATTGGTTCATTATATTGACGTACAAAAACGGACACGAAGTAAATGCGTGCCGATCTCCCAATAGGAGAGGTAAATGGAAATGCAACTTTGTAGCAATGGTTCTTGAAAAGTTAAACTTCGACAACACTAATATGAAATTTAAATTTAATCCTCGAAAATTACCCAGTTTTATGAACTATTCTTTAAACCGACAGATTTGTAAAATATACAGCTATAACGAAAGAATCGCATGAAACCACCACATTTCAATGCTCCCGTCGATATTCGAGTCACAAGTTTGCTCCTTTATATTCTTTATCTTTCTTGATAAATACGAAGCTGATCATGTAAGTTTGCTACGTATACCGCTTCAATGGTACTTGACCTAGAAGTTCCTAAAAGCCCAAACTATATTGAACTTATTTTTTCTAGTAACC